GGGGAGGAAGGAGTGTCTCTGTGTGTGTGTGTGTGTGTGTGTGACGGGGGTAGTCAGTTGTGGGGCTTGAACTCTGGGCCTGGGTACTGTCCTTCATCTCTTCAGCTCAACACTAGCCCTCTACCACTTGAGCCACAGCACCACTTTCAGTTTTCTGGTGGTTAACTGAAGGTAAGTCTCACGGACTTTCCTTGCTTGGACTAGCTTTGGACCATGATCTCCACATCTCAGCTTCTTGAGTAGCTAGGATTACAGGCCTGAGCCACCAGTACCAAGCAAAATGCATCTTCTTCCTCTTTTTTTAACCAAAGTGGTAGAATGCTACCATTGAGCAAAAGAGCTCAGGGACAGTGCCTAGACTCTTGAACAGCTCCCCACTGACCCCCAAAAAAGTTGTAAATTTCACTCTAAGCCTTCCAGTAGCTACAATGTTCATGAGGAAAAGTAATTCAGTTGCTCATGAAATTAGTTACTGTATATGGTAAGAGAAGTGAGAACTTTCTCTCTCTGAATCTTAATAAGGGAACACTGAATGATGTAGTAAACACTAGCTCTACCAAGAGGCCCAATGGGAACCATCATTATTTACCCAGTGCAAGGTCACTGCCATATGACAGTAACAAACACTACAACTTTGTGGTCACTATGTCAGTTGTCTTAAATTAAACAATACCTTAGCTCCATTTGGTGACGTAGGAGATGCTGGTGAGCTGGCATAGCTTCTGATGGGAGATGTGGGCACAAGCAAAGCCTGGTCTAGGGCTGAAGTAGAGTCAGAAGATGGTGAATTCTCAGAGGAAGACGAGTTTTCTTCAGCTTGCTTATGAGGTAAGACGTGATCTACTATCCATCCAGAATAAGAAGATAGCTTGGGAAGAGACATACACTCTTCTAAAACATCCTAAAGAAAAGAAGGTTTAGTCTACTTAATATATACTCTGATGTAAGTATAATATACTACACGTTTTTCTGAACCTCTCAGAAGGCCCAAATAAGTCAACACCTAAGATCCCAAGTAAGTGTGTTAACAGTCAAGAGATGAAAAAGTCCAGAGGGTGTGTGTGTGTGTGTGTGTAGTAGTACTAGGCCTTGTGTGTGTGTGTGTGTGTCTAGTAGTACTAGGGCTTGAACTCAAGGCCTAGGCACTCCCTTAACTAAAACAGTAATCCCAGCATGAGGCAGCAGAGATGAAAGGATACAGGCAAAAAATAGCAAAATTTCATCTTAACCCATAAGCTGGGTATGAGCGTGTGCACATACTGTCATTCCAACTATGTGGCAGGCACAAATAAGAGGATTTTAGTCCAGGACAGACTGGGCAAAAACTCCAGTCATTATTCAAAAACTGAGGCTGGGTTCCTGTGGCTGTCACCTGTGACTCACACCTGTAATCCTGGCTAATCTGGAAGTTCAAAGCCAGCCCAAAGCCAGCCCCATGCAGGAAAGTCTGTGAGAATTTTTTTTTTTAATTGGTCATGGGGCCTGAACTCTGGGCGTGGGTACCATCCCTCAGCTCTTCAGCTCAAGGCTGCCACTCTACCACTTGAAACAAAGCACCGCTTCAGGCTTTTTTCCACTCATGTGGTGCTGAGGAATTGAACCCAAGGCCTCATGCATGCAAGGCAAGCACTCTACCACTGAGCCACCATCCCAGCCCTGTGAGACTTTTTTTTTTTTTTTTTTCCCCAGTTATGGTACCTGAACTCTGGGCCTGGGTGCTGTCCTTCAGCTTTTCAGCTCAAGGCTCGTGCTCTAATGCTTGAGCCACAGCGCCACTCCTGGCTTTTTCTGTTTATGTGATGCTGAGAAATGGAACCCAGGGCATCATACCTGCTAGGCAAGCACTCTACCACGGAGCCACCTTCTCAGTCCCCCTGTGAGACTCTTATCTCCAATTAAATCATCTAAAAAGCCAGAAGTGGAGCTGTGGTTCAAGTGGTATGGAACTAGCCTGGGGCAAAAAAAGTGACTGCACAGGCCCTGAGTTCAAGACCCAGGACTGGCATGCACATGCACATGCACACACACACATATTGTGGCGTGTGGGGGGGGGCGGATATCCTGGGCTTCAACTCAGGGCCCAAGCACTGTCCCTGAGCCTTTTTGTGCTCAAGGCTAATGCTCTACCACTTGAGCCACAGCACCACCTTCGGCTTTTTCTGTTTATGTGGTACTAAAGAATTGAACCTAGGGGTTCATGCATGCTAGCCAAGTACTCTACTACTAAGCCACATTCCCAGAATGTGACTTTTTTTTTTTAGTGTGGCTCAAGTAGTAGAGTACCCGCCTAGCAAGTATAAGCTCTAAATTCAAACCTCAGTACCCCCTCAAAACAAACCAACCAACCAGAATGAATGCCCATTTATTTATTTATTTTTTGGGTCTGGTCATGGGGCCTGAACTGTGGGCCTGGGCACTGTCCCTCAGCTCTTCAGCTCAAGGCTAATGCTCAACCAACGTTCCGTGTGTAGCAGGATTAGCAGAACGTGGTCATGGCAGCTTCAGATTGGACAACATTCCGTGTGTAGCTAGATTAGCAGAACGTGGCCATGGCAGCTTTGCCCGAACGATCTCCACATCCCCAGTCCAGATACAGAGTTTTGACAAAACCTAGACACCGTGACCACGCCCCATTCGCTCGACAGCTCTGCAGAACGTCATCTGAAACTGGATCATTTCAACCGCACCGAGGAGTCAAGTGGCTCGTCCCTAAATCTGGAACTTTCAGCACAGGAAATACACAGTAAAGGAGCTGACTGGGCGGCTGGGGCCGCTCTGACCACGGGCCACGCCGGCTGCGGTGGCCGTGAAGCCTTTGGCCCACGTCTGAAGGGAACTCCTTGGAAGGGCTGCCAGGAGCGGGACACGCACACGCAGACATCGAGGCATAAATGCGGGTGGTGCGGGCGCCCAGGTCCGGCGCCCAGCGCCTGCCAGGGAAGAGGGACCGACGGAAGCGCGTCGCGGGCGGCCTGCGAAGCCATGGCGGCCCGGGCGCCACCCCGCCCCGCTCACCTCGCCCCGCAGCAGCCAGTCGCGGTTGTAGCACAGGCGACCTTTATGGGAACTGCGGAGCGCCTGCAGGGTCTCCCAGCAGCGACCCTCGGACGGCATGATGGTTCCGGCGACAGCTCCTCACAGACGCGGCTGGTGACTACACAAGCCCTCGAATCAGCCGCCAGAAAAGGGCACCGGCTTCCGTTTCCGGGTCACATATTCAGCGTAGCCCCGCCTTTAACGGTTGAAAACTACTTCCGGTGGCGTTCCTGCCTGCCAGCGCGCCTGCGCAGACCTAGGCTGCAGAGTAGAAGGCCAGCAGGTAGAAAGTGGTTTTATGGAAAAATTCTCACACCCTGTTCCTAAGAGTACAAATGGAGAGAACTCGAGAGAAGACAGCCTGTGAGTTCCCCAAGAGGCTAATCATAGTAAGCGTCTCTCACTAGTGTATACTAGAGAAATATGTCCACCCTAAGACTTGGGCATTCATGTCCATGCAAGCATTGGACAAAATGCACACCATCCAAATTTTCATCATTTGGGAAATGACGTCATATCCACAATACTTTTTTTTTGTCGGTCGTGGATCTCGAACTCCCTCAGCTCTTCAGCTCAAGGCAAGCACTCTACCACAGCACCACTTCTGGTTTTCTGGTGGTTAATTGGAAATAAGAGTCTCACAGACTTTCCTGCCCCAGCTGGCTTTGAACTGCAATCCTCAAATCTCAATCTCCTGAGTAGCTAGGATTACAAGTGTGAGTCACCAGCATCTTTTTTTTTTTTTTTCTGTTGTGGAGGTTAAAGATGAGCCCCAACAAGGTACTGTAACGCCTGTAATCCTAACTGCTCAGGCAACTAAGATTTGAGGATGGAGCTCTCACCAGATGTAAATACCAACCCAGAAAATCAGTCCGCTAGAGACTGACAGGCTATCTATTGGTGGGACAGAGAGTAGCAAACTGCTCTTGCAGCGTTAAGAGTGTCAGGAATCTGAGGGCAGAAGAAGGGGCTGGGATGGGAAATCTTTGTAGTCATAGCAGGACACTGGAGATATCCGACAACCAGGGAAGGACATTCTGTAGCTGGTTTGCAGCCAGGGAGAACATCCCATCGCAGAGACAATACCTAAGACTAATATGTAGCAAAGTCAATATATCTTATAGCTGTCATGTAGTCAGGGGAAACAGCTTGATCTTGGAGCAGAGACAATACATCCTATAGTTGGCACCTTGTGATCATACGCGGAGATTAGTAGTATCTGCCGGGGCTGGTGGGAATAGACTACTACTGCCAGGCCTGGCTTGTGAAGGACCCAGGGCGAGGGCTGTCAACCCAAAGTAGGGGTGAATAAGTTTACAAGTTCAAAGCCAACCAAAAAATGAAAAAAACTTTTTTTTGTTTTTTTGCCAGTCCTATAGCTTTTTGCTCAAGGCTAGTACTCTACCACTTGAGCCACAGTGCCACTTTCAGCTTTTTCTGTGTTATGTGATACTTAGGAATCAAACCCAGGGCTTCAAAAAGAAAAAAGCCAGAAGTGGCACTGTGGCTCAAGTGGTAGACTTTGAGCTGAAGAGCTGAAGGACAGCGCCCAGGCCCAGAGTTCAGGCCCCATGACCAGACCCCAAAAAAACAAAACAAAAACAAACCCAGGTCTTCATGCATGCTAGGAAAGTACTCTACCACTAATCCACCTCCCCAGCCCCAAATCTGTGATTCTTATCCCCAATTAACCAGAAAACCAGAAATGGTGTGGTGGTAGACAGAGCACTAGCCTTGAGTAAAAGAGCCTGGGGACAGCATCCAGACTGAGTTCAAGCTCCATGATCTACTCCCCACCCTGAAAAATTCAGACTTTCCTACTCAGTCTCTCTCTGAATCATGACCTTGATAGCAATTTTTTTTTTTTTTGTCAGTTGTGGGGCTTGAACTCTGGGCCTGGGCACTGTCCCTCAGCTCTTCAGCTCAAGGCTAGCGCTCTACCACTTGAGCCACACACCACTTCTGGTTTTCTAGTGGTTTATTGGAGATAGGAGTCTCATGGTCTTCCCTGCCC